ATGGATTCGAGCGAGGGATTTAAAGACTATGCTCAGAAGTGGAGGGATTTAGCAGAAAGAGTCCAACCCCCCTGTCTGATAGGGAGCTGGTGGATATGCTTCTGGGTACCCTGTCTGGTCTGTTTTTCAATCACCTGATTGGAAGCTCCTCAGCCGGCTTCACTGAATTGATCTTGACGGGAGAAAGAGTGGAAGCTGGAATTAGGAGTGGTAAGATCCAGAAGGATGCGTCCTCCAGTGCAACAAGGAAGCCATTTTCTGGGGAAAAAGAGGTTAGTGTTGTGATTCCTAAACTTGCACCTACTCAACAAAGGAACAATCAATCGGTTTACCCGGATAAATATGACGTTGTCTCAAGTCTTGCCACATTTGTTGAAATCTAATCTAGTAACCTTGAAGGAAGCCCCGAAGAATCCTAATACTTCCTCTCCCCGCTACAATCCAAATGCACGATGCGCCTACCATTCTGAGACTCCGGGGCATGACACGAACGAATGTTAGACTTTGAAGAACAAGGTGCAAGATCTGATTGAGGCAAAGGAGATTGAATTCGATACCCCTGAGACTCTCAATGTCATAATTGCACCCATGCCCAAGCACGTCTCAGGAATCAATGCTATTGATGTTGTCTCCGCCACGGAAGATGCTGACAATGAGTATGACGTGGATAACTGGATCTTCCCTACTACCAACGGTGGACCCAATAACTGGACGGAGAAAGAATTTGTACCAATTACTTTTATTCAGAAGTAATTGTCTTTCTTGTTTTTTGATATGTAATAAACATTATAAACTTTGTGGCCATGTGTCTTACCCGGGACACAATGGTTTATTTGTGAGGGTTATCATGTTTCAATTTCATATGGCATTAATAAAGCATTGGACGTTTATGCATATAAATTTTGCACTCTCTGTTTTTCTTTTCTTCTTTTTACTATACAACTATGCTCTTACACACACTCACGTATCAAACTGCAGATCTATATCCACTCTGGATCCCATTGATAACAGTTCTGCTATGGCCAGTTATGACTTTGAAAATCCGATCAACCAAGCCGAGGACGAAGGCGAGGAAGATTATGAGGTACCTGGAGAACTTGCTAGGTTGTTACATCAGGAAGAGAGGGCTATACAGCCTCATGACGAGCCAATTGAGACAATAAACTTGGGCACAGAGGAAGACAGAAAAGAAGTCAAGACCGGTGCAAATCTAGGACTTAATGTCAAATAGCGGTTGATACAGATGTTGCATGATTAAGACGTTAATGGTAGAAGTTATAGAGTTAGGATATTTAGTGAATATGGTTATGTTGAATGGTGTTTTTGGTTGAGGATATTATTACATGTTTGTTAAGTTTGTGAAGGTTATGGTGAAGGAAGGAAATTTTGAAGGTGATGGCTTCATGGAGAATAGGTTGGTGTTGTTATGGAAGAATTGGTTTCATGGAGTTTTAGTTTAAAAGCATCCACTCGCAGAGAGAGGAAATTTGTGTCAGATGATACTATGGTTTTTAAGGAATGGACTAGAAGTGCGTGCATTGTTTGATGAGGATGACTTATTTGTTCAGAGAAGAAACGTGATATATGGAAGGATGGACTTTTTGTGAAAGTTTTGGAGAATTATGTATGTAAAAAAAGGTTTGGAATAGTGTTAGAAGTTGATGTGAAATATGAACAATATAGTTTGTGTGTGTGAAGGGTTTTTAAGTGTGAATTTGTGGAATGATCGTGTGGTTTGGTGGGTTCATTATGGATTTTGTAACATGTAGTGTTTGTTTACAAGGTGATATTAGGGGTTGTCATTTTTCTGAGAAACAAAAACAGCACGAGAGGGATGGTGAAACTGGGTGTAAAGAAAAGGTGGGTGGATAATGTGTATGTAGCGTGGTTAGTGAAAATTGTTAGTGAATGGAAAATTAGTGGTGAGAAAGAAAGGTTTTGTGGTATTATGTGAATATACAGTGAGACTGTGAAGGTGAAAATATAAAGGTTTGAAATTTGTTTATAGAATAATATAAATTTAAAAAACAACCGTCAGATAATCTTCACACGATAAAAATAAATTAAAATTGAAAATAAAAGATAGGGTGGCCTCATATTTAATTATTGGCCATAAATAAAAATTTGAAAAAATGGTTTGAAAAATGTGTGTGAAAGTGAAAGTTGAAAAATTGTAGAGTTTGTGTAATTTATGAATATTGTAGATAATTGTTGGTCCCCTAAACTCTGAAATAGATGACTATTTATAGAGTAGAAAATTATATTAAATTGCTAGAAAAGGTAATTATCCAAATAATAAAAAATACAAAATTTATGATTCTATTTTGGTCAGCAAGCTGACCAATCAGAAGCTGAATATGATATAGATTGACACAAATTGACAAAAAAAAAACAATTAACCCGAAAATGAAATATTTTTTATATTTATTATAATTTTTGCCTCTATTTTTGATAAAAAACTGTATAAAATTAAAAAAATAATTATTTTTGAAAATATCTTAAAATAAAAAACAAAAATTGAAATTAAAATAATAAAAAAATATAATTTTATGATTTAAGAATGGAAATAAAGTTAATAACAAATGAAAGGAAAAATGTCAAAAATATAACAAATGAGATTTGAACCCATAATCTTATACTTGAAAGCCTAATCTCTTTACCAATTATACTAAATCATTTATTTGGGATAAGAAGCCACTTGAAAGTATATGAAGGGTGGGAAAATATTTGTTATTTTAAGGAATATAAATAATTTTAAAAAAACTATTATATTTTTTTAAACAGGCAAAATAAATTAAAAATAAATATAAAATTAAAAATATTATTATAAATAATCAAAGAAATTTATAAAAAATCAATTTTGAAAATCATTTGACTGTAGAAAATAAGGCGGACAAATTTGGGGTATGATAATATTCATCTTCAGATAAATTAATTTCCATTCTTTGTTTAACTTTTCAAAGGTTGAGCTTCATTCTTTGTTTAACTTTTAAAAAAGTTAACCTCCATTCTTTGAAGCAAGAATGATTTTCTGCACTTGCAATCTATCAAATGAGCAAAAATACAACAACAACAACATCAACACCATTATGTTAGATATATTGCAAGGGCAGAAAAATGTTTCATTCTAGATAGAAGAACATTGAAGATTTTTTTTGTCTTGCAATTCATCACAAAGAATGATGCATATGAGTTTGGGGCGGCTTCATATAAGTAAGGATTAGGGTAAAATATATTTAACGAGTGTTTTTATAGTAAAAACTGATTGTTTTCTCCCTCGATTTTATCAAAAATCGAAGGGTTAGATGATTTAGTTTACACTCATAAACAAATAAAAACATAAACTGCAATAGCTGAGATTCAAAGCCTGTCCTGATTTATTTTTCCCCTCGGTTTTAATGAAAACCAAGGGAATATATTGTTTTTGTTTTTATATAAAAAAAAACATGGCGCCCCTCTTTTTTTCTGACTGAGGTGAAAGCTTTTTCATGAAATGTATTATTTGTAGTAATGTCTCTCACAAGACACCCCAAAAGTTGAAAAAGATTCCCAGTGTCAGTGTCACGTATAAGGAACTAAGGCCAATTTGACTTCTCAAGACTAAATCATAATTGGTCACATTCAATGTTGTGCGTGTTCTCCATACCGACTGACGTTTGGGGACTTCTGTTAGCTAACGTTTGAGGATTCACATCACACATGTGGGTCAATCTCAGGCCATGTCTGGGGACTCAGCCTGGATATAATTGAGGGTTTCACCCTATATTAGAGGGACTTTCCTCAGGCCACATCTAAGAACTCTCCTCAAACATACTAGAGGTACTCGACCCATGCTTAAGGGACTCGCCTCAGACTACGCCTGGGGAATCACCTTATTTCTATACTTGAGGGACTCACCTTAGGCACACCTGAGGAACTCGTCCAAATAAGAAGAGGAAAACAAACTAAATTACTTCATCCTTTCCAAAGCCCTCGAGTTTGAGGGATTGTGTATTGGTGTATTCGTAAATGGCTCATGAGAGATGGTGTAGGAAGCTCACTAAGGGGAGATGACGTAATATATCACCTTGCGAGCTTCCTCGCCACCTATTTATTGGAACGCACACCCATCTTTTAGTTATGACGTCCATTTTTTATACCACTCACCTTTTTTGAAAACATGAAAGTGACTTGTCCTATCCATAACAATATGGGAAGTGAGTTAAAAGAAGGAAGCCACGTCCTCCAAAGAAACAGGAGAAATAACTACTCTCATTCCACGCTCCTGGAAATGTAAAATACGAAAATTGTCTTCTTAAGACCTAAGACACAAGTCCGATAGACCTTTATAAATACATCAATCCTAAGTTGAGAAAGATATTCAGTTTCACCTAAAAACATCATTATACAGAGTTTGTCACCTCTCTATGTGAACTTGCTCTAACATCACAATACAAAAAAATATCACATATTATACTTTTAACAAATACAAAAAACAAAGACTAAAATAAAATGATTCACATATTATCAATTTCAATATAAATCAAATTTGTGGGGAATAAAATAAAATGACAAGGAACAAAACAAAATAAAAAATATTTGTAAGTAGTAAAAGCCAAAAAAAAAACTAATTTATTTATTTATAAACCTATGTAATTTTAAAATTTTGTTTAATAGATTAATGATAATTTGTCTTTTTTTTTTTTTTGTTTTGTTATCGCTTAAAGAAAAACAAGCGACAAATCTTGGTATCTTTTTCTTCGAAAAGCTAGAAACTCTCACAGGCTCACGCACAGAGCAAATGTTTCTTCAATCATGAAGCCACAAAATAAGATACCTGATTTCCCAAATTCAACTATTTTCTAGTTCATGGGAGCGCAAGAGATTTCATCTTTTCACCAATCTTAACTTGTCCCAAACTTTGATTTGTTTTTTTTCTGGTGTGTTGGGTTTTCATTTGGTTTGTCTGAAAACATTTTAGCAGTCATTAAGGTTGTTACTTTTTGTTTTGTTTAAGAAACATGCAATCTTTGGTTTCATCAAAGTTTCTTGTGCTGGTTGGAGAATCATTCCCTATGAGAAGGGCTTTATTGAATCCTAGGTTTGCTTGGTTTCATAGTAGTGTTAGATGTATGAGTAATGTTGAACCCAATCACGGTTCTCTCACCCTTTCAAACCTTGGTTTGGAAACTGAAATTGAGCCTAAGGTTAGAACTAAGTCAAAAATTGTTAAGCCATTAGGTTCATCTGAGGGGTTCAAGAATAAAAGAAAACCCTTTGGAAATAGGGTTTTGAATAAGCAAGAAATAGAGTCTGCCCCTTTTGCGGCTAAGTCGTTTTCGGAACTCGGTGTTCCGGAGGTTTTGATTCAGAGGCTAGGAAAAGAGGGTTTCGATGTTCCGACCGAGGTTCAATCTGCTGCGGTTCCGACAATTTTGAAGAACCGTGATGTTATAATTCAGTCATATACTGGTTCGGGGAAAACGTTGGCTTATCTGCTTCCTATATTGTCGGTTATCGGGCCGTTGAGAGGTGAGAATTGTGGTGGTGGTGGTGATGGTGGTGAAACGGGGAAGAAATTGGGTGTTGAAGCGGTGATTGTTGCTCCGTCTAGGGAGCTTGGAATGCAGATAGTGAGGGAGTTTGAGAAGATATTGGGAATGGATAACAAGAAAATGGTGCAGCAGCTTGTGGGAGGTGCGAACCGAACTAGGCAGGAAGAGGCTTTGAAGAAAAATAAACCTGCCATTGTTGTTGGTACACCGGGTAGGATAGCTGAGCTAAGTGCGAGTGGGAAACTTCATACACACGGGTGTCGGTATTTGGTATTGGATGAAGTTGATGAGCTTCTTTCGTTTAATTTCCGGGAAGACATGCACAGGTTATTGGAGCATGTTGGGAGGAGATCGGGTGCAGACCTAAACTCAAATGCGAAAAAGACCGAGCGTCAATTAATTATGGTTTCCGCAACTGTTCCGTTTTCGGTTGTAAGAGCAGCTAAAAGCTGGGGTTGTGATCCACTTCTTGTTCAAGCTAAGAAAATTGTACCGCTTGAAACTTTGTCTCCTGAGCCGGTCAATTTGTCACCGAGCTCGAACAGTACCTTGTCTAAGCCATCTAAGGCCGCAGTCGAGAGTCTACCTCCAGCATTGAAACACTATTATTGTGTAGTGAGGTTGCAACACAAAGTTGATACATTGAGAAGGTGTATTCATGCGTTGGATGCAAAATTCGTGATAGTTTTCATGAATCATACTAAGCAGCTAAAGGACGTTGTCTTCAAACTGGAAGCCCGTGGGGTGAAAGCCGCAGAGTTACACGGAGATCTCGGGAAGCTCGGTAGGTCGACAACTCTGAAGAAGTTCAAGAACGGCGAGGTTAGAGTTCTTGTGACAAATGAATTGTCAGCAAGGGGTTTGGATGTGGCAGAATGTGATCTTGTGGTTAACCTCGAGTTGCCGACGGATTCGATTCACTATGCACATCGAGCCGGTCGAACAGGTCGGCTTGGTAGGAACGGTACGGTGCTAACCATATGTGAAGAGTCAGAGGTTTTTGTTGTGAGAAAATTGAAGAAGCAACTTGAAATACCGATAGCATGCTGTAATTTTGTTGAAGGAAAGCTTCTTGTCACGGAAGAAGAAGAGCATACACCAAGCGACACTTCTTGAAGATGAGGTGTTATAATTTTGCAACTTGTTAAGATGACAGTGTTTCCATTTTATGTGTTTCATTCTTCATTAAAGTTTCTTTCACTCTTTGCTATTGTTTGTTTATATACATCAAAGCAGCAGATTTGCATTAATGTTGCTCATTTTCTGCCCTGTTTCTGCCTGTATTCTTGTTGCTATATTCCATCTATCCAAAATATAATTATGGAGGGATTTGATGGATTTATAAGTTTAATATTTGATTGAATTTTTCAAAGAAATTTTTAGTCGATTGTTAATGGTTTGTTTAGGTCCATACATAAGTAGTCCCTCTAGGGGAAGATCGGTCAAACTAAAAGTGCAGAAGAACAAACCACAACAAACCACGACAATGACAATCGTTTTTGTTCGTTTTTTCATGTTCCTTTGTATATGCACCAAGTTACACTTTCCCGGATGTTGATTCTCGGTATATGCCTAGTTTTTTTATTTATCGATAGTAGATTCGAAGAACTTATATGTTGCCAGGGGACACAAATGTGAGCAGATCTGGCATTAGTTGTTCGTGGAAAAATGCAAGGAACAAAACTTTAAATACAAGGTAATTCCATGCCATTTCTTCTATAGTTTTCTAGTTGTTTTCAACTTTTTTAGTATATCACCATTTAACTTTCAGGGGTCAAACCTTTGTGTGAAGAATAATGATACTTGTAGAGAAACTACCTTGAGCTTGGTCCTAAAATTGACAACCTTGTCATAAGAGCTTTGTGAAGATGTCAGTTTTTTTTATCAATGCCAGGTATGTGCACCAATACGGTTTTTCGGCGATGATTTTTTTCTCTCACAATGAACAAGTTTCTATGTGCTTGATCCTGGCGCGAAGCACAATATAGTGACCAATTGCAACAACGCTTCCATTGTCACAAAAGGTGGGAGGAGTTCTCGTTGCAACATATCTTGAGGTTCTATCACATATCTTGCCTAATCCTGGGCACTTAGGTGCCTTAACCTACACCAAATCATAACTATTTCTTTTATTACATTATATTAATACGGTAATAGAAGACGGGAGAAATCTTATACATCTGACAAAAATCTTGAATACAAGATGATTTAGGGCAACATAGACCTACACTAAAAAAATAGGCCAACCATTCAACATTATTTTTGGGTTTTTAATTCAAGATTTACTGGTGCTGACTAGAATTTTCACAAAGGGTTAAAATTCAGTCAAAAGATAAAAAGGTTTTTTGAGAATTTTGAATTATAAGAAGTCGACTACAGAAGCAGTCGATCGGGAGAGACTTCACAAATAGTCAATTGGGCTTGTAGACGCAGTCGACCAGAAAAGAGGCCTCATGAGGAATAGATTGGGTCCAAGAATGTTAAAAAGTCCAAAGAATGCATAACTAGCAAAATAAAGTGTTATAGATGGAGAACGTGGGTTCGATAGCAGGGATGGAGAACGTGAATTCATGAAGGGAAGTTACAAGAGACACATGACTTATAAAGAAGCGAAACCCGCTAAAAAGTAGTTATTTTTGTGTATTATAAATAAAGCACTTAGTGCATAGTGTCAGAGGTTTAAATTTTCACATTCCTACACGCTGGTCACTCAGAGTACTCAAGCGAACAAGCAAAATGAGTCAAGCTAGGGCAATGTACGTTTGAATCAACTGATTTTCAACTATTTTGATGTTATGTCATCTATTTTTACAGTTTAAAACGTCTTTAGTTTTATTTTACAAGTCCTACTTTATTGCTTTTAAACTCGTTTCGCCTTAGTCGAACGGACCCTTTTGAACATACTTTGTGAAAACACTCGAAAATTGAAGCATTGTACCGAGATTCCCTGGTCGATCTCGCTAGTAAACTTTTTGTTAAGAGACCGATGTTGTTTGCCAAAACCAGAGGTAAACAAATTGGCACACCCGATGAGACAATGCTAATAATTTCGTATTTTGTGTGATTTTATAAAGTTTCTTATAGTTAGTTTGTGTGTGTATAAATTTAAGAAGTGGTAAACTTTTGTCCAAGTCTAGAATGTCACGCTCTGACACAAACACTGCACATACGCGAATTTCTACACAAAATGTGGACGTTATACCGGTGAGTATCACAATCAAAGCGCGACAGTTTTATCTCCTGTGAGATCGACCGTTGTTCATGGTTCAGTGACAACATTCATAATGATAGAACCTAGGCATGGGATATCACCCTTTGACCCGAATCGACCACTCTTTCCAGGGGTCCAGGGTCACCATTTGTTCCTTACTAATATGGTATGTCTTATTCTATGATGTTCGGGTTACAGTCGAACCCGACCACATATATAGAAAATACAGTGGCCACTGGAAACCAAGGTAGTCATGTCCCAAGTGGTCGATCAGGTGGTGTTAGTTATGTCCCTCAGTCGACACCATCTTTGAATACTACTTCTGTTATGGCTTTAAGGCAGCAGATGGATGAGAGTAATTTAGAGTTAGTAAATGTCTTAACTCAATAAATGGGAGTTGCCCTCAATCCTGTAGTTGACCAAATAAGTAGATTGATCGGCTCATTCGGAGTCTAACCAACTCAAACGCGTCACAGGCCGTTAAGAGTTTTTGAAGAACTAGAGGGGGGCAACAATGAGCGTCCTTTTAGACCTCGAAGAGTGAAAGCACCCACTTATGAAGAGGAAGAATTCATTGAACAATACTGTTGATATATATATATATATATATATATATATATATATATATATATATATATATATATATATATATATATATATATATATATATATATATATATATATATATATATATATATATATATATATATATATATATATATATATATATATATATATATATATATATATATATATATATATATATATATATATATATATATATATATATATATATATATAATGTTAAGAATATTTATATGTAGAATAGTCTCACATCGACTATATCATATCGTTAGTTGTAATCTCTCTATATATAATAAAGTCCATGTAGTGATTTTCAAAACACACGATTTAACCTAAATGTCTCTTAGTCTCTCCTAATTTAATATGGTATCTAGAGCCTACTAAGAGGCAATTCTTCGTCGTGTTTTACCCGGTTGACCCACTGTCATCCGGTGCCAATTTTTTTTTGTAAACCGTGTCATCACTCCAATTTGCCCCCCACTCTCCAAAATTCTTCGGTAACCACCGGACTACTGCCGCCATCAGCCGCTACTAATTCTGGTGACCTTCCGACAAACTAACCCTACCGGTAAAAGTGCCTCCTTCGATCCGGTCGATTTCGACGATTTTAACACCATCGCACTCACCGCCGTGCAACTTTTCCAAATCTGATACTCATGGCTACTCCAGAACTTTATGCCAAACTACGATGATTTCCTCAAGTGGTATCAGAATCATCAAAACTCAGATTCTACTGCTTCGGTTGCACACACTAGTAATTCATCTATTTGCTTCTCTCAATCATCTTATCTTGAACCTTGGGTCCTTGATTCGGGTGCATCTGATCATGTTACTGGTAATAAAAATATTTTCTCTTCCCTCTCTATCTCTGATTTCTTACCTACAATAACTTCTGTCAATTGTTTTCAAACCCGATCCGAAGGAATTGGTACTGTTCAAATTCTACCTTCTCTCTCTGTTACTTCCGTTCTCTATATACCTAATTGTCCATTTAATTTACTTTCAGTCACCCGTTTAACTTGTTCTCTTAATTGTATTGTCACTGTCACTAATAGTAATGTCACCCTGCAGGATCGGAGTTCGGGACGAAAAATAGGTGTCGGATGTGAGTCTCGAGGCCTTTATTACCTCTCAGTGTCATTTCAGACATGCTCAGCCAAATACTCTCCACTCACAATCCATGCTCAGTTAGGTCATCATAGTCTTCCCAAATTACAAAAGTTGGTTCCAAGTTTATCAAAAGTATCTAATTTACATTGTGAGTCGTGTCAGTTAGGGAAACACACTCGTAGTCAATTTCCCAATCGAGTTAATAAATGAGCTTCGTCCCCTTTTGCTTTAATTCACTCCGATGTTTGGGGTCCCTCACGTACTATCTATACTCTTGAGTCTAGGTATTTTGTCACCTTTATTGATGATTTTTCACGTTGCACGTGGTTATTTTTAATGAAAAGTGGATCAAAATTATTTTCTATTTTTGAAATTTTTTATAAATAATTAAAAACTCAGTTTGGTGTGTCTATTTGTACCTTAAGAAGTGATAATGCTCATGAATATTTATCCCAATAATTTCAAACTTTTATGTCCAATAATGGTATTCTTCACCAAACATCTTGTCCTCATACACCTCAACAAAACGGGGTAGCCGAATGCAAAAATCAGCATCTTGTAGAAACCACTTGAACTCTACATCTCCATGGTAGTGTTCCAGTTTAGTTTTGGGGAGACGATGTGCTAACGACATGTTAGCTTATAAATCGTATGTCATCATATGTCCTTAACAATAACATCCCTCATTGAATCCCTTTTCTCCATTCCCCCTTCACCCAATTCCTCCCCGAGTCTTCGGGTCTACATGTTTTGTACACAATCTCTCTTCTAGTCTTGATAAACTATCAGCTCGATCACTAAAGTGTACTTTTATTGGTTATCATCGATCCCAAAAAAGTAATCGTTGCTCTTCACATGCTCTACAATGATACCTCATGTCGGCCGATGTCACCTTCTTTGAGTCTGTTCCATATTTCGAGTCCAGCCAAGTAACTTTGAACCCTTTTAGAAGAGTACTCCCACACCTCTTTCGGAAGTCCCATATGTGATTATCCCCCATCATTCTAGGGAACCTGGCCCACTAGATAACCCTAAGGTTAACCCCCCGACTTCTCATCCACTTCAAACATATCAGCATCGTCAATCAATGTTTGTCGTATCTGTACCTGAGGTCATACTTGTCCCTAAGGTCGTACATGTCCTTGAGGTCGTTGCAGACTCTCCTCCGACGCTCTCGCCATCACTGGATCTGATCCTGCAACCTGATTCCGATCTTTCGATTGCCCTTCGAAAAGGTATACGTCAAACACGAAATCCTTCTCCACATTATATTGATTTTTGTTATCATTGTCTTTCCCCTTTGCAGTATAGTTGTTTGTCTTCTTTGTCTTCTGTTTATATTCCTAACGCTCAAGGTGAAGCATTATCTCACCCTGAGTGGAGGAAAGAAATGATTGATGAAATGTGTGCTCTTCAAAGCAGTGGTACTTGGAAATTCGTTCCTCTACCCCCTGTG